TATTTAGTTTACAATTATGTATTTCAATATGTGCCATGAGACATTTAAAAGAGACTTGTATTATACAAGAATCAGTAGTAAGATATTCTTTTAATGTGATGCTAGGTGCTATTTAACCCCTCAGTAATGGGTACAGCTATAGCCTTCATAACATAATCATGTATTATGCTTTATAACTCTCCCACTCACTGAGCGAGTAGACTGGCTGTACACAGTACAAACCCTGTTACATAATGATTATGTCACAGGAAATTCTGGCCCCGCCATATAGATTTAACCCATTTACGATTGGTTTCCCATATATGAGACACCCGGAAAAATAAACATTGCCAGGCGTCCCGCCAGTGTGACGTTGGATCGGAGCTCGCGCTCTGAATATGTCACGGGTCGTGGCCGGTGCACAGGCAAATTCCGGGCCGGCCCCGCACACCGATTTTGTAGCCGCCCAGAAAATATTATCTTCGGCTTCAAAATGTACTGGCGTTAGTGGGTTAAGAAAAAAGAAAGATGCATAACTTTATATTATTGTTTAATGTTACAGCCTATATCTAGGAGTATAGACAAATTCAGAGTTTATATTTTATTGATAGCAACAGTATAAGCTGTATATGTATAAAAGATATGTCCAAAATGGGTCAAACCGTGGACAGACATAAGTACTAATCGTTATCTTAGAAGTGCAATATCTTCTGGTGAAAATCTTCAAGATTTTGTAGATTGTAACTCTGTTCTCAGTGTCTAAAACCTCTTTATGATATTAAGTAGAGTGTATATGAACTGTATTCATATTGACAAATGTAGATAGGTATTGTAAAGATAATCATTCTCATTTATACCTTTCTACATTGAGTGTATATGCCAAACTTATCCATTCAGTTGAAAGTGAAATGAAGTCATGTTGCTAAAGACATGGGAGTTTGTTCTAAAGAGCATAGAGACAGTATAAAAATATCAGTATCAATATAAATAACATAATATACAGATGGGAAGGTAAGATAAAGACCTCATAGAAACTTCTATGGGGGCTCAAAATGGCCCTTTTCTCTTCGTCCTTACTAACAGATGGTAGCAATACTCCAGGGAGTGGAAACAGTAATGGAAGCAGCAGTGGAGCTCCAGCCTCTGCAGGAAACATTAGCAGCAGTAGTAGTGGTAGCAACTCTGCTCAGCCTGCAACAGTAGGGGTTCAGGAGGAACCCCTTCCCCATGGGTAAGTAGCAAAACCGTAATTATTTTACTTATTTGTAAAAAAATTTATTGTTATTTTTGTGTTTTGCTTTGTTTTTGTAAAGATTTTCCTTAAGTTAGTCACAGTCCATCATCACAATATTTTTACCTCAGATGGGAGATGCGTCATGACCAGTATGGGCGCCGCTACTACGTAGACCACACAACCCGCTCCACTACATGGGAGAGACCAAAGCCCTTACCTGCAGGCTGGGAGGCACGTCGCGATCCAAGGGGGAGAGTTTATTATGTCGATCATAACACCAGAACGACTACCTGGCAGCGGCCAACAGTAGAACATATTAGGTAAGGAGGTCTCTCTTTTTCTCCTTCTTGTTCTTCTTTTATTTTTATTTTTTATTAGTGTAATTTTCGTGAACTTATTTTTTCAGACTTATAGTTTCTCCTCACCTTGTCTGTCATTTTCATTCATTACATGTATTTCCACTTTCATTTCTCCCATTTTTACATTTTCATCCATTAATTTTTCCCCTTTCTTTCCAATAGGCAATTTGAAGAATGGCAAGGGGAGCGACAACACATTGCTCAGCTCAGTGCACAGAGGTTCCTGTATCCCAACACCAACCAAGAGACTGAGAATGATCCTCTGGGCCCACTGCCACCTGTGAGTTTCAGTGGTAGAGGTTGAGGGGAGGTAGATGGGAATGGAGAGTCATAGGAAGAGAGGTAGAGATGGGGAGAGACGAGAGGGGTGGAGGAAGATGAACCAAGAAGTAGATGGGGATGGAGAGAGGTGGGGATAGATGAGGTGGGGTAGAGAGAGAGAGATATGCAGTGAAAGGTATATGGAAATGGATAGAGATGGAAAGAGAGGTAGAGATGGGGTGTGATAAGGAGGGTGGAGAAAGATGCAGCAAGATGTATATGGGGATGAAGAAAGATAGGAAGGGAGGTAGATAGAGAGAGGGAGAGATGAGGGGGAGTGGAGAGAGATGAAGGGAGAAGTAGATGGAGACAGCAAAAGATGGAGGAAAAAGGAAGAGTGAGAGAGAGAGAAAATGGAAAAAGTGAAAGAAAAAAATGGGGAAAAGAGAGAGGAAAAGTTAGAATGAGAGATGCAATGTTGAAGTGAAGATAGAAAACAAGTAGTTAGAGAAAGAGACAGGAAAAAAGGAAAAATCTAAACACAATGATACTTTTATACATGTTTCATTGTTTTTTTTTTTTTTTTTAAGGAAAAATATTTGTGATATGATTTTAACAATTTTTTCTTTTGTCTTAATTCATACTTGAAACTATTTACAATAACCCTAATCTATACGGTTTATGTGATCAGGGTTGGGAGAAGCGGCAGGAGCCCAATGGTAGAATTTACTTTGTCAACCACCGCAACAGAACAACTCAGTGGGATGATCCAAGGACACAAGGGTAAGATTTGTTTCTGATGGAATATATGCTGTTTTCTCATATAGAGTTAGCGTTTATTATGTCTTGAATTATTAGTGTGTCCCTGCCTTTTTATTATTATTATTACTACTACTACTACTACTACTACTACTACTACTACTACCCCCTCTTACTTGTCTTTTTCTTTAGGAATGCAATGAAAGAACTTGTTAAAAGAATACTCTAAATTTACAGAATGGGACTTGAGGAGGAGGCCCTTCCAGCTGGCTGGGAGATGCGACTCACAGATGACGGTCGCCAGTACTTTGTGGACCCAGGGATGCCTTTCTAGTGGAAATACCATAGTAGATATAGAGCTCTACAACAATATAAACTGAAAGGAAACTAGTGTTTAACCCATTAGTTCTTCTCCCTGAATCTGCCAGTTTTCCTTTTTGTTCCTTTTGTTTATTTTTCCTGTGGTTCTCTTCACTTTTCACATTGGTTACTTCATGTTATAAATTTTATCAAATAATGATTTAAAAAAAAAAAAAAAGATTTGCTATTCTTCTGTGATACAAATAAAGAGAGTAAAGAATTTTTGTTATGTTGTGTCTGATTTTTTCTTTCTGCCATCTTGATTTCTAATACACTTTTCGTGTTTTTGGTTGCAGTGCCAACAGAGGACAGTACGGAATCCCCGTGGTCTATGAGAGATCCTTCAGGTGGAAATTGGGACAATTCCGATACTTGTGTCAAAGGTAGGTTCTGATAATGCTTTCATAAATCTCTCCACATTCTTGGTTAAACATAGCCGTTTGAATATTCCATTGAGTTTTTTAGTGATATTTTTTGTTGATTTTGATAGTCACACTAATTCTCCATTTTCATGGAAATTTTTTATTTTTTGCTTTGTTTCTATCTGTTGATATGTATTATAACAGGGTGCACATGACTCATACATATACTAATATTCTTCCAGCTTACACCCATTGAATCATTTAGGTAGACCAAAACTCAGATTTATGTCTGGGAATGGCTGTATAATTAATCTTAAAGGTAATAGTGTGACATTTATCCTTCCAGTAATACTGTTGCTGGCCACATCAAGATTAGTGTTACCCGGCAGACACTCTTTGAAGATTCTTTCCACCAAGTGATGAGACTTCCAGCCTTTGAATTACGTAGACGTCTCTTCATCATCTTTAGAGGAGAGGAGGGTCTCGATTATGGTGGTATTGCAAGGTAAGCCAAGAAGCAAACTGTGCTCTGTTGTGTGATTATAATTGCTTAATAATAACATGCAAATTGTGGATTTAGTGGATACTGTATTTATGATGTTCTTGTATTTTGGAAAAGAAAGTGTTATGCTGTCGTATCTGTGTTTAATTAGTTACTAATTTCCCTTTGCAGAGAGTGGTTCTTCCAGCTCTCCCACGAGGTGCTCAACCCAATGTACTGCCTATTTGAATACGCCAACAAAAACAATTACTCTCTTCAGATCAACCCAGCCTCAGAAGTCAACCCTGATCACTTAACATATTTCAAATTTATTGGAAGGTTTATAGCTATGGTGAGTAAGGACTGACCTCTGTTAAAGCTTCATTTATCTAAACTGCTTTCTTTATCTTCTGTAAAATGGTAACTACATTTACAAGAGGTTTCCGGTTTGAGTGAATTGTGTCATCATTGTCATAACTATGAAAAGACAGTAGATGGAGAAGGAAAATACAACAAAATTGAAAGGAAAAGTATTGTAAATGTATTTCTTATGCATAGTCTTAATAGGATAGATTAGGTCATTTAGGTATACCTTATGAGAATCAGGTTTAAGATGAATTATCTTTTGATCTCTAGTTTATTTTGTTGGGCAGTGAAAGTTATGTAGGAAGTATAGTATTTGACTGTCTCTGTATATTTGCCAAGTGATATAACTTAGTAAGATAATATAAAGATGACTGAGTGTTGTGTTTTCAGATATCTTATGTAGAAATGCTTCTGTCTTACCATTTGTTACATCTTAAGATTTAAAGTTTTAAATTCCCTGGTATTGCATTTACCAACTTTATATTTTTTTCTTTCCAGGCCTTGTATCATGGAAAGTTCATTTATTCTGGTTTTACCATGCCTTTCTATAAGCGAATGTTGAACAAGAAACTTACCATGAAGGACCTGGAGTCTATCGATCCAGAGTTCTATAATTCACTTGTGTGGATTAGGGATAACAACATTGAGGTGGGTCTAATTTAATTGTGTAAATATGGTTGCAATGTAATGTCTTTCTGGTTTTATTGTCAGTTGATAATTGGGCTTCATACAATCTTGAATTCTATATTTTTCCTTGCTCTCTCTCGCTCTGTCTCTCTCTCTTTTCTTCTTTCTTTTTTTTTTATGTTTTTTTTAGTTTGTATAGTGGACTTTGATTATTAAGGTTTAACACTGTAGAAAAAAATTAAATGATTGTTAGGTCCACTTTGTATTACTCCTTGGAATTTTGATGTTGCATACATCCAGCAAACATATAATTAGTAGATAATAGAAAAGTTCATTGTATTGTGTCCTTGATTTTTATGAGGGAGTCTTATAAAGATGGATATTGTATTTTGTTTCATTATATAACAGTAGTTGTCATCCCAGTTGTACCTGTGAAATTATTTTCAGTCATTTATATCATTAAGTATAAGATATAAACATAATGATTTTATTTCGTTTCTAGGAATGTTGCCTTGAGATGACCTTCTGCACTGATTTTGAAGTTTTGGGGAAGATAACTGAAGTAGAGTTGAAGCCTGGTGGAAAAGATATCCAAGTGACAGAGGAAAATAAGGAAGAATATATTGAGTAAGTCTTCAATTTTATGTTGTTAGTTATATGGTACATGTATCTGTTGACAGAAAAGTCAATGGGAAGATGTATGTATATATGTAATGTTGTAATGATTAGGTCAAGCATTTTAAGCATCATGTTTGCCTGTGAAATGAGGTATACAGATTACTATAAAAATTACTAAGCATTTTGAGATTTATCTGTGTGATATTATATATATTTTTAGTGTAGGAATTACTAAGTTATGCACTTTAAGCATCCTCAGATTTATTGTTCTACACAATAAAATGACACTTATCATTACAGCCTCATGATGCAGTGGCGTCTCACTCGAGGCCAAGAGGCACAGACAAGGCATTTCCTGGAAGGGTTTTCGGAAGTGGTGCCGCTGGAGTGGTTGAAGTATTTTGATGAACGGGAATTGGAGTTGTTGCTGTGTGGAATGCAAGAGATTGACATTTGTGATTGGCAGAAGCATACTATATACCGCCACTATAACCGATCTTCAAAACAAATTATGTGGTTCTGGCAGGTAAGAATGAGGGACATTTGGGTGATTCAAGCTCTCTATATATTTATATTTTCATTTAAGAGGACTGTCCCGGATTTGGCTTACTTTTCTCAACGCATCTCATCATAATAAAATATCGGTTGGAGGTAACTCATTGATCGTTTTTGCATAATATCGAGTATATAATTGCACTTTGTCTCATATACAATTTTAACTTTTTTTGAGGGGGGGTGTATTGTCTCCGGTACATGATAACTGCCACATTTTTTTCCTGAATATTCCCCAAAAAAATATTTGTGTTAGATCTATCCTTTAGTAAGCTTGTATAAATAGCCAATTTTTTTATTTCCTTTATTTTGGAGCGGGGGACTGGTTGACATAGAATATCTTTGGTATTTTTTTTTTCAGTTTTACATAATTTTATTTTTTATTTATTCCAAAATTCTAAAATCAGCTATTTATATAGCTTTGGAATTCCAATGCTCTAGCAAAAGCAGCAAACTACGTTTGAATCGTATGAAAATTATGAGTTATAGGTTCCGAAGTTCTGTAAACAAAGAATGGAGATATGGCGTTCTAAATTTTGGACACTTGCCAAAGTTCAGTACCTCTGTTATCTTTCGCTAAATCTAATAATGTTATGTATATTAAAAAATATATATTACTGTACCTTGTGTTGCAATGATTACCAAGTCAATCAGAATTATTTTCAATAGGGATGCTATTCTGTAAAGGTATGTCTCATTGTTTTGTTTGTTTGTTGGATATAAAAGTAGATTTTTCTGTCTGAAAAGTTGAATAAATGCATTAAACCAAAGAGACAACTTGAAGAAATGGAGAACTGTGGGTTGCAATATCAGTACAAAATCATCCTAGTTATAAAGTCCTAGCTTGAATACAACATGGTTTAAGTTTGAGAATTTTAAAAGCATATGTATGGAGTACATGGAATTCGAAAGTTACTGAAGTAGTTGAATTTTTCCCATGCTCCACAGAGGAGGGAACTTTCTTAAGTTCATTATCTTTATTATTTTATCAATCAATCCAATCATGTTTTATATATATACATATATATATATATATATATATATATATATATATATATATATATATATATATATATTTAGTTTAGTTTGTGATGAGTCAGTCATTATTTTCAATAGGGACCATATTTTGTAAAGGTACCTCCTTTTATTTTCTCTCTTGATTTTGATATGAAAGATATACCTTTCTGAAACATTTGATATATGCTGTAAAAAAAACTATCTAGACTAGAAAATACTTTTTTTTTTGCAAAAGTTGCTGAATGGGGATGGGGGCTGGTCACTTGGTGATTGTAATTTTCAAAGAGGTTCGTTATGAACTCATGCCTTGTAGATTATTTAGTGTCCTGGATGCTCTCTGCAGTATGCTACCATTCCTGTGGACCTGTTAAGGGGTTTGGTCATCCACCCACTCTGTAAGGGGAAAAGGCAATGCTTGCACTGTAGCAATTACTGGACCATTACAATAGTCAGGCAAGGTGCTCTCTCTCATCCTTCTGAAAAGTATCAGACCACCTACTGAGGCACCAAAGACCAAGGCAGTTTGAATTCACTCTTAGTAAGCTATATCAACAACAGTAAAGTGTTTGACTCAGGGCAGCATGAATCTTTCTTGGTAATCCTGATACATTTAATGGCTTGCTATTTATCCAAAGATTATTTGAATAATATCAAGGTTTTTATATTGGTACTGAAGGTGCAGGGGCATGTCTAGCTTTTTTCCAATGAATTTGGATTGAGGCAGAGATATTTTTTTACATCACTGCCATACCTTTTAACTCTTCCATGAACTAGACAATGTCTAGAGCTACCATTCTAAGTTATTGGGCAATTTTAAGATCACTGACCTTGATTTTGCTGACACAAGTTCACCCATTGGTCTAGAGGTCCCTTGGACCGAGGCCAAGATCCAGGTGTTTGGATGTTGGCCGGACCATGTCTTTGCAAGACCATGTTTGGATGTTGGCCGGACCATGTATCCAACCAAAAATTACACTGTAAGACCAAGACCAATTACTACCACAAGCCAGGTTTGCCAACTCAGGCTAGATAGACAATGATGCTCCCGCTCACCAGCTTGTCTCCGCTTGAGACAATCTTGGTGTTGGTGGCCCTTGGGTTGACCTTGGAAGTTGTGGCTTGGGCAAATTGATTAGATCTGTTGTGAAGGGGTAGAGATAAGCCATAGACCTGCCTGGCAACTAGCCAAGAGGGACCCTCATGGCTGCACCCCCTTCAACATTAATCCCCACTTATTGATTGACAGACATCCAGTGTATTATGTAATTTCTTTTTCATAGTGACAGCCTTTGATTGAATTAATCATTAATAGAATTTAACCTGATTTTTCTTTTAGTTTGTGAGAGAGATTGACAATGAGAAGAGGGCACGTCTGCTACAGTTCGTCACTGGAACATGCCGTGTACCAGTAGGAGGCTTTGCAGAGCTTATGGGTATGTAACTTTTATTGTAAGGGTATGCTCATGTTAACAGTGGTTGATGTGGAAAAAAGCAAAAGAACTTTGAAACTCTCAGAAGACATCAGGAGATGAATGTTTAAATATTTTAAAAATTGCATGGCATTCTCAGGTGTCATAGCTACATGATACCATTCATTTAAAGTATTGTACAGTTGTTATAATTTGCAGTAAGGAAAATGCTGTTATATATGAAAACCTGTATGAGAAAATGTACAGTTATAGTTTTTGTATCTTATAGATCATTAAACTTCATGAAATGCCTCTGATGTATGACAGCTTATATTGCAAAAATCTTGTGACTTTACCCTTCTGGTATAAGAATTTTTTAAAAACAGAAACTATACTGACATTGTCTATATGCACATAAAACATTTTTCTTAATTGCAAGTAAAGTAGAATGTATGATGTTTTAAATGTATAGTGTCAGTGGTTGCAACACCACATAACACTATGCATTTTTGAAGAACACTATGCATTCATTATGAAGTAACATTCATCTCTTAGTATATTCTTAAAGCTGTAAATCTAAATTGCCAATTCATTATTTTTATTATTTTGTTCCATATTGACTGTGACATGAATGTACCCTTAGAATTGTTTTCCTCTCAAATTATTATGTTCACTCTATTTTGAATTTTAGGAATTAAGCAAGGTATTTCAATAAGATTTTAAGAAACACTTTCTCTTCCTCCCTTTCTTCTCTATACATTTTATATGGATATATTTGTAGTATGTAATATGTGTATATTGCTGGTTGCTAAGATCCTATACTTATTTAATAGCATATTTAAAGATTTTAGTGCATTTTATCATATACTTAGTGATTAGTGATTTTTCAGAGAACGACATCTGCCAGCATAGTTAATTCACAATAGATGAGCAGACACCTAATGATGTCACTTGCGAAAGTTGACCAAATGACACAGTTTTCCAGGGGTACCAGTTGACTGATGAATACACTCATAGTCATAAGGCAAATTATTGAAACCTATCTGAAACCTCATGTTGCACTGACATGCTCCAGACATTAATGAGAAAATGATTATGATTGCACATTCAAACTCATTGGGATGCAACTGTAGTTCCATTAGTATTGCAGTCCAATCACAGTTTATGTTTTTTTATCGTTCAGATTTGTATCATGATAGCTCTATACTTTGCAGGAATTTAGGCAAAAAATAGCACAATGCCTCAAATTATCATACATGTCTTGAACAAAGCCACAAACAAGGACTTTGATGTACATACGGCATCAAAACAAGCATGGTGGTTACCCATACATGGCATATTTACATGGACCCTGGAGTTAATGCAAGCCCAAAGGCATTAGGATGATAATGTAACTGCCTACAAATATTTAACAATTTTCTACAATGATCATACACAGTTGAATGTGGAGAAGATAGTTGGAACTGAGTAAAGATGACTCAAGGTCTGACTTGTCTGGTTCCAGAGTCAGAAAAATATTAACCATTTTATCACTTTTGTAGGGAGCAATGGGCCACAGAAATTCTGCATTGAGAAGGTGGGTAAAGAGACATGGCTTCCTCGGTCCCACACCTGCTTCAATCGGTTAGACCTCCCACCCTACAAGTCCTATGAGCAGTTAGTTGAGAAACTCACCTTCGCCATTGAGGAAACTGAAGGCTTCGGCCAGGAGTAGAATATGGGGACCCCCATCATCAATGTTGAGAGATAATGGAAATTAAGGATTTCATGTAAGTGATAGTATATCATAAGGTTTTCTGTTTGATTGGTTGATTATGCATACAGAAGTAGGGCCATTCTGGAGTTTAGCAATTCAAAGAAAACCCAATATTGTATCAAGGTTGTGTTTGTAGTTTTGCTGGCAGTGTTAAAAGGCATTTGTAAGTAGCTTAGGCCAGTTTTATGTTATATTATTAAATAGATTAGTCATAATACACTTATCTTTGTTATATTTTTGGTAAAGAAATGATTTATTGTAAACAGACTACAAGAAATAGCATTTTAGGGTTAAGCAGAAGTGATTTATATATCCAGAGGACAAAAGGTTAATGATGTGAGTGTACAAAAATAATGTAGGTGACATACTATCATTTTTGTGAAAAAAAAATAAAAAATGTAAAATAATGGAACTATAACAAGTTTGTATTTAACCATAGTTTGTTTTCATAATTTTTGGTTATTTTTATGTTATTTTTGATGGCTTTTAATCATGATGATCGTAATATTTCCTGAGTGGATACAATACGTGTTTTAGTAAAGAAGTGAACAAATATAGCAAAGCAAATTCACCTTCTTTTTGTTTTTCTAATTACCGTCTTAACGCATAAACAATATCTTTGAAAATGATCTTTAAAATGTTTTACTCAGCACTAGTGACTGCCATGTGATGTTAAGATTGAAAGTCTTAATGCATTAACTTTATCTTCTCCAAAATATATTCTACTCAGAGTTGAGTATAAATTGAATCATAGGTCACAGCTTAAAAATGAAGAGTTCATCAATACACATACTCATCATGCTTACTAGTCGCGAATTTTGCAAATGGCCTATGATCATTCCTTTGGGATTGTTGTGTTTCCTGTGTATTTAGACAAGACACAATACTCACAGTCATGAGAGTGCCACCCTGTCAAAAATTCACAGTTTTAGTGTACCATACAACACTGACTCTCTCGCAAGACATTTTCAGCACTCATGTACTATATTTTTATTAATTTTTTTTTTCCCCAGTTTGTAACAGTAGAGAGATATTGAATTACTTGTGACAAATAGTCAGTTGTATGAGATGTTAACTTTAAACAAGTGAAATGTAATGTAAATATATTACTTAACAGGTGATGATGATGTTAAGTAATTGTTACGATTATCATTATGATAAGTGTATTTTTTGTTCTTTTCATTAGTGTTATTATTATTATTATTATTATTATTATTATTATTATTATTATTATTATAATTATTATTGTTGTTATTATTATTTATCATATTATCATCATTATTATTGTTTTATATATTATTATTATTATTATCATTATTATTATTATTACTGTTTGTATTGTTTTTATTATTATTTTATTTATTATTATTATTATTATTATTATTATTATTATTGTCATTATATTTGTAATTATTTTGATTATCATTATTCATAATTGATATCATTAATTCCAAATGACCTTGTTATATATTGATTTTCATGATTATATCTCTGTTGATAATCTTATACTTTGCTGTTTATCTTTCCTCTAATTTAAGATAAAAATTGTCTTTTCAGAAGTTATTCTTCCTTCCTTTTTTAATGTAATATTTGGAGAATGATCTTTTATGTAGATTGCCATCTTGAAGTACTTTTAAGAGATCCTTTTCACCCAAAGCAAAAAGTCTTTTGAAATGACTGGTGTTGTTTCCTGCTCCCACCTTTGATACTGGTGGACTGAGTGCAGCTGTGTGAGTAGTGCTTGCAAACAACCCTCTGAATACGGCAAGTGAAATGTAAGTGAAGCCTGCAAATCCCGATGTTACTGGTGACAAAACCAAGTAGTCTGATTGTCATTGTTTCTGCTCTTTTTTTTATATGTGTGTGTGTGATTTACTTTTATTGTTTTTTACCCAATTTCAATGTTTGGTAATCTGGCTGTATTTGAGATATCCATGCTTCCATGATACAATTAGAGTCTGTTTGAAGAACTTTTAAAGGTTATGAATAAATAAGAAATAACAGAGAATATGTAGATGATGAGGTTGTTTGCTGTAGGAAAGAACTTTATTTCATTTATGATGTGCATTAGTCCAGCACTGTTATTGACCACTTTTTTATTTTATTACACATACACACACATGCACACATGTACACGTTTGTAATATATATATGGGCGCATACATGTATACACATACACGTATATATATGTATATGCACACATACATACATACATACACACTCTCACACACACACACACTCTCACACACACACACTCTCACACACACACACACTCTCACACACACACACTCTCACACACACACACTCTCACACACACACACTCTCTCACACGCACACACACTCCACTCACTCACTCACTCACTCATATGTATGTATACATAAATACAATATACACTTTTATTTTAATATTTTAAATAGTTCACATACAAAAAAGTAGGTATGTTAATTGTGTTAGCTACAACAACCAATCATTATTCTAGTTATACTTAGCCAGAATTAGGTTCATTGAAATGTTTGAAATGCAATAAATGTAAACTTTATGATGCTCAGAGCTGCTTTCTTGAAAGTTCTATTTTATGTTATTATTTTTTCATGATCTTGTAAGATTTACAAATCAGTAGCTAACAACTGTATCATCTGTTTCTTTTCAGAATGTAATCAAGGTGGGAGGGGGGGGGAATAATGTAAATATGATATGCCAAATAGGTATAGTGGCTAAGTAAGCTTACATGTTATCAGATATTAAGTATAAGTAAATTGACTGCAAAATCGTTACTTTAAAAGCAACCGTTCTGTGATGTAAGTAACACTTGAAATTAGAACTACAATGCATCATCAGTGGCTTCAGAATAAACTAATATGCCAAAACTACAAAATGATTACATTTGCCTCTTGGATACAGCATGCAATGTTGATGTATGTGAGTGCTATGGAAATGTGTAACTGTGAAGTCCTTATATTTTAGTTTTCTGTCATCCCTTAGTGGAATAAATGCATCCATAACAAATAATTCCTTAAGCATTGGGAATTCAAAAGACACAAGTCGAGTATTATTTTAGACTCCTGCTTTGTCAACTTTGGTGGGTCGTTTCTTATTGATAGTCATTATCTCTATGGTGTTTCTCTTTTTCTACCCTCAATTCCCTCCTTTTCTAACTCTCTCTCTCTCTCTCTCTCTCTCTCTCTCTCTCTCTCTCTCTCTCTCTCTCTCTCTCTCTCTCTCTCTCTCTCTCTCTCTCTCTCTCTCTCTCTCTCTCTCTCTCTCTCTCTCTCTCTCTCTCTCTCTCTCTCTCTCCCCCCCCCCCCTCTCTCTCGCTTTTCTCCCTCTTTCCCTCTCTCCCTCCCCACTCTCTCTCTCTCTCTCCTCACCCCCTACCCCCTACCCCCACTCTCTCTCTCCCCTTCATTCCTTCCTACCTTCCTTACTCCCTCCCTCCCTTCCTTCCTCCCCCCTTTCCCTTGCTCTCTCCCCCCCTCTCCCTTCCTCTTACTCATACTTCATTGTAATCGTAAGTGATTTCTTTCAATCATGCTCGATATTTATGACAGCCTTTTCCTCCACGTGCATCTAGTTCATTTGCTTAATATACCCACAAGGTTAGTGATGACTGAGTAGTATTCTTTGTTACCATAATGCTTGTATTACCCTCATCCCTCAGTCTCCTGCCCTTACAGTTCATGCTGATGTAAAGAGATATGACACAGAAGAGAAAATTATTGTAACAAAATTAATATTATTGCAAGTGGTATGTATTTTCTTTTTTTTTTATGTAAGATAGATGATAAAGATGAACATCCAATTAAGCTTAACCAGCCCATGTGTGGTCTTCTGTTGTGGTTTCTTATGTAGGAATTTTGCCGTGGGCTCTGGAAAATGTATCGAGATGAGAGGAAGGGCTGAATAAGTTTTCCAATTTCTTGATTTCTTACTTTGTTTCTTTCTTCCCTTCTTTTTCATTAAGTCATTAAGTTGATGGGGATAATTTAGTTAATAGTTAACCTCAACTTCTGCAAATTTAGTATTTGTGGGCTTCTTAGTAACTATGTTTATCATTTTATTCTGTCTACACAGGATTGGCGGCCTGTTTTGTTATTTAAGTAGTTATTGATGCTACTATAAATGATTATATAAATTTTAGAAATATTTCCAAAGATAACCATTGTGATGATATTCTATTTAAAGGGTTTTCCATATATTTTTTTCTCATTGATAATGTATCATTGCACTTAGTGTATCATTTGGCCACTGTAATTGACCTGTGTTGTTCTCCATCTCAGTAATGTATGATATAATGTATTTATTATTGTTTTCACGTGTTTCTGATTATTCACAGATAGTGTAAGGAAAATGGATTGTTTAGAGAGGGCTGTTTATTTTTATTTGAAATGATGTGTGGATTCTAAGAAAAAAATAGACTTTGAACATATTAACCATTTCTAACCTATTGTTTAGTGGATTAGTGTGATCCTTATACTTTGCTTAAAGTACTGACCTAAGGTTAGAATAGTTAGAATTAATCAAAATGAGGCATCCCTGCAGTCACAATAGTAAACTGGTTGATGTATAGAATATTCCTTAACTATGGTGTACTTAAGAGATTTCCACATGTGATATTTAAAGATTTGTGCTGAAAATAAATGACAGTGCATTGGCTGAGACAGTTAGCTTATGAGTATTGATAAAGTGTTTCATAATGGTATGCAAGTAGGAAAACTACCCTATACTATGCTGCATATTGCTATTCAGCAAAGTAGTCTGTATATTCATTTTGATGAAGAGCAGCATTTAGAAGAGTTAGTAATTTCCAACCATTTCTGCAGATTTTGCTGTAATGCTACAAATCGAGTGAGGCCCCAATTCCGAATGGCTGAGGCTTTCCATTTGCCTGCACTTTGTGATTTTCTGATAGTATGCTTTCAATATTAAAGGTGATATAATGGGAGATTTGTATTGGTGCATTGATATTACCATGGTAGCTTCTGGTGTCAAGTCACAAGTTCAGCTGTGAGATGCTATAGATCATAGGATCTGTTCAATTTTATTTGTTTTCAGGAGCAGTTTGTTTGGCAGTATTTCTGGTGTATGGCTGCCTTTCATATTACAGTCTTTGAGGACTATTTTGTGAGAAAAAAATCATTATTTAAGGATATTATTCACAATATCATGGGTGATACTTAGGTAGATGTTAGCATCGTCAGAAGTAGTAGTAGTTTCAGTGTCAGAGACATTTTGTCCCTCACAAGTTTTTTTTTCCTTCTTATTTTCTTAATTGTCAGTTTTATATGTTCATTGTCATTGTTGTTATTGTTATTCTTGTATGTTTAGCATTAGTGTTAGTACTAGCATTATATTTTCTTAGCTGCATTGTTATAAGTATAGTATTAGTAGTAGTGGTAGGTTTGATAATAATAATTACAATAACTTTTCAGTCAGATAATCATCAGAGTATCATAGGCATTAACATTATCACCCTTATATTCTATGGATGTTATTAGAAGTCATCGATATTAGAATGATTTCTTTAAATAATAATATATACTTATATCAGCATATGCACTATGTGCTGATTTG